GATCACTTTTGTTATACTCCACTACAATTATCGATTTTATCATTTTTGCAAACTTTAAAGGAGCTTGAAGTTGGTACGAGGGGTAAGAAGAGCACACTTTGTGAAAATACAAAAAACACTACGGTGAAGTGCGAATTTCATCTTCGATCATCGACTTTGAGTAGCGTGTTGGAAAAGGTTTCAAGTGATAGCTCAAGGCCTTTCACGAGATTTCTACCGTAACCCTACTATAATGAAAAACTTGTTTCGTTTCATAGTAAATCTAAGTTATCCAGCTTCGTAGAATGATGCCTTACTAGCGGAAAAAGATCAAGGTAGGAGAGTTATCAATGAGAAGACGGTGGGGAAATTCTTCTAGGACATTTTCCTTCCATCTCATCAGATTCAGAAAATACTGTGTTTCCTGATTAATTGTAATTACTGCAATAATGTAGACGTAAAAATTTTTCAAAGACTGAGGACAGCTAAGAATGAACTAGCAGATGCTACTGCACTTTACCTGGCGCTGCTTCAGCGCATCGATAAACAGAAGGTTATTACTGCCAATAAAAAGGAAAAAATCGTTTCTTATCACCATAGCTATCAGTTCACTATTCGTGTCATATGTTTTCGATTTTTGAAACATAGTCATTGACTGTAAAGCAGCTAATCTCTGTTGCAGATGAGGATTACCCTACTTTTTCTCCTTCTCTTGACTGTGATAAATGGTTACAAAATTGTGTTCTTCGTACTAGACATTTCTACGAGCCAGGTAAGAAAGTGTATTAGTAGCACATGAATTTTTTTCCCAAACCGAGAAGTTCCATTATGAGAAAATGCGTTAACATAGCTTGTCAGGAACTTTTGGGTTTGGGACGATTAGAAGTTGATTCAGTCCCTGCCCCAGCTTGTTAAGCAAAGCCAGTTATTTCCACAAAGACATCTCTCTCATCTAAGGGCCTAAAACCTTATTCTTTCACTTTCTAATGAGCGCTCTCCTATATTTAAAACTAGCTGGCTTACCCGGCTCCGCCGTATCCGGACCAAACTTGGCACACATACACTTCGGGCCCCGGCGGGTGTCACAGTCCACTTTTCGTTATCGATCGATGTCGATTTTACCGATTTTTATCGATTTTTTTTGCAGAGTTCACCTACAGGGCTAGGAGTTGGCACAGGGGGTAATCGAGCATGCTGATTACGAACACAATATTAGTTTTCAGAATTATCGATTACTTTTATTGATTTTATCGATTTTTTGTAAATTTTGACATGCGAGGCTGGGATTTTGCACAGGGGGGTAATCGAGCATGCTGATTACGAACACAATATTAGTTTTCAAGATCGTCCATTACTTTTATCGATTTTATCGATTTTTTGAAAATTTGAGCTAGGGGACTGGAATTTGGCACAGGGGTGTAATCGAGCATGCTGATCACCCCCCTTGGGGGTGATCAGCATGCTCGATTACCCCCCTGTGCCAACTCTCAGCCCCCTAGCTCAAACTTTGCAAAAAATCGATAAAATTGATATCGATCGATGACGAAAAGTAGCCTATGACACCCGCCGGGGCCCGAAGTGTATGTGTGCCAAGTTTGGTCCGGATCGGTTCAGAAATGGAATTTTCTATTCGGAACATACGTACAGACATACAGACAGACAGACATACAAACAGACATTCAGCTTTATATATAAGATTTTATTTTCGCTTACTCTCGACCTCATATCATTGAATAGAACCAGACTAAGTGCCTTGGGTAATGTCCCAAACATTTGCTCGAACATTAATTCATGCATATTTTTTCAATAGCCTCTTGAGTAGGAATGACTATGTGGTGCTGAAATTGTAAGAAAGAGGCCAGATAAATTACCAATAGTATTCCCCTTCTTTGATTCAGAGACCTCAAGCTAGAAAAATGATAATTAGTGAAACTGATCGAGGCTATTTTGGCTCTGTATTTGTTCTTGATTGGAGGAGAAGCTGGTGTAGTATCAGCCAAGGCTAGGCACAGGTGGTTTGTAAGCAAGTTGGATATTGTTTTTGGGGCAAAAAGCAAAGGGGGTAATGTTCTTGAAATCGAAAGGTACAAAAATTGCAAAGTTTTTTTAGCCGACATTTCATTTTTTGAGGTTTTTTACGTTTGGGGTTTAGAGTCAAATGGGACTTCGTAAAAATTTCCGAAAGTCAAGGAGGATTTCGTTTTTCCAAAAGCCACCTCCTGCTGAGCCATGGATCAGCTTCTTTCGGCTGGACTATACAGAAGTTCTTTGCAACATGCTAAAACGGAGTTTTATCCTATAGAAAAGGCAGTTTCAGAAAAATTGTCTCAATTATTCTCTTTCCTCGATGCTGCTGTAGATGCATTCAGTTAGAGCTGCTTATTATTAAACATCAAACCATCAGCCAAAGATTACTTTCGATTGCTAGAATTTCGCATGTCCACTTCAATTCCTTGTTGTAAGACATGCAGCAATGCATTGGACTTGGACTGAAGTAAGTACGCAATGTAGTAATGGAATGTAGAAGTGTACCAGATTTCTTTATTATGTTGTTAAATCAAATGCTAGGATAAACTTCTATGCTTCTTCGCTACGAAAGAGCGTTGGAGCAGTGAATGTTGCTTTCTCAACTCTTTCTGAATGAAGAAAATTTGTCTGAAAAACAAAGCCCATTACTTTATAGTTCAAAGTGGTGGATGTCCACATTTTTTAAAATCCTAACTTTCCTTTTTGAAAGTATTAGCCATATTTACTCAGACACCTACTTCCAGAGAAATTCACTCTTTTATAGTGCAGTGATGCATCCTGCAAAAAAAAAAGATTAGCGCGTTCTCCTCAGGCTAAACTGTTTCATTTGCAAGGTCCCGTTATTCCAACTCTCAACTGACTATCATTTGTAAGAATATAATCATATAAAGCGCATAGCGGCTGAAAGATCAGCATGCACCCCCTTAACTCGAAATTCCCACATTCTTTCAGTAACGTACCGATGGGGCGCCCCTCCCCTCCCGCGAGAATGGGTCGCGAAATTTCTGAAAGTTACATAAATGTGTTATAAAAATGTGCAAGCAACTTCTTTTTACTTGTAAATAAGTAAAATAATTTTTAAAAGATTTCGAAAATTCAAATTAGACCTGCAAAAAAATTTTCGGGGGCGTGGTTGCCGCCACGCCCCTTTTTTGCAATTTCGGGGGTTAGGGGCGCGCAAAAATTTTGGGAAGCATCCAAATTTTCCGGAAGGCATAGTGTTATACACGCACCTTCGTACAAAAAAATTTCTTGTCCCCCCCCCCCCTCATCGCCCGAACAGACATTCTGAGTGCGCCACTGTCTTTCGGGTGCATGCGCAGAGAAAGACTGCCGTTTGCCTTCTTGGGTAAGGTTCAATCTCCTTTCACCGGCTAATTAATCGCGGTTTTGCATGATCTTCACACTTGCGTTTATGAATTGGCAATGTTTCGCAACGTCTTTTAAATGTATTGGTGACATTGTGGAGGACGAACGCATGAAAACCCTCTCTATTCAACTTCTGCGTGAGCTTAATCAGTCAGAAATCATATTGACGAGTGTGCCGTTTTTGTCAAAATTTTCCGGTACAAGATTTTTAAGTAGATAGCGATAGCAGTCAAATACTGCGATATTCAAAAATTCTTATTAGCTGTCAGTGGCGTACCGAGAGGAGGGAGGGAGGAGGGGGGGGGGGGAGCGGTTTTCGGACGGCAGCTGCTTACTATGTATTAGCTGGCGTACTCGGCTCCGGCCCTGTCAATACAATATGTTAAAGGCCACCATCCCTATTTCTGTACAACCAACTCCGAACCGTAGCTCAAACTTTGCAAAAATCGATAAAATCCATAAAAGTAAAAGGTGATCCCGAAGACTAATAATTCGTAATTAGCATGCTCATTTACTCCCCCCCCCCCTTGCCAACTCCCAGCCCCGTAGGCCCCGTAGCTTAAACTTTGCAAAAATCGATATAATCGAATATACAGCGTGTCCCAAAAAATGTTTAGAACGATTGATCGTTAATATCTCTCTTCCCAAGAAGTCTTTTGCCTTGCTTCAGGTACCGTTTTGTAGAGCTGGCTTCAACTTAGATTTCCATTATAGAACGAATCACCCATCTCTCTTCATTACTGTAGGATTACGGTAGAAACTTGAAACATATGGTGTCAATATGGAAAAAGCTGCCGTCTCAAAATTTTTCAAAAAATTTCGAAAACTTGTGTAATAGGGTTTTTATGGGTTCCGAGTTCAATACTCAAGTATTCACAGGATTGCGAAGCTTTCTAAGCGGTGTAACCGCACTTTTTAGGAACATTGAAAAAATGGCCGCTACCCCTTACCCGGCACAACTCTTCAATGAAACATCATAAGTTGGGAACTTCACAGTTAGAATCAGCAACTCTAATTAGCTTGATGTAAAAATTTTCAGGCTGTTTTCTTTTTTTCTGAGGGAAAATATGGCTTTTCACGGTTCAAAACCCTTGAAGTTTCTACCGTAATCCTACAGTAATGAAGAGAGATGGGTGATTCGTCCTATACTGCAAATCTAAGTTGAAGCCAGCTCTACAAAACGGTACCTGAAGCAAGGCAAAAGACTTCTTGGAAAGAGAGATATTAACGATCAAACGTTCTAAACATTTTTTGGGACACCCTGTATATAGAATCGATATGGTATCGATCGATAACGGAAAGTAGCCTACGACATTCTCCCCCCCCCCCCCCCCCGAAGTGTATGTGTGCGTTTGCTCCGGATCGGATCAGATCGAAAAATTTCTATTTGAAACATACGTAGATAAATACACACATATGTACATACCTACATACAGACAGGCAGACAGACAAAAACCGACGTTCAGCTTTATATCCAAAATAACAGCTGAAAAATCAAAGTTTTCCTGCATATGTAAAAGCTGGAAAGCAAGACTTATTAGTTTGAAATTTTCTTTTCAAGGTGATATTCAACAAGCGGATTGCTGAAACGCTTGCAGATCGTGGTCACAATGTGACAATGGTTCTTGTAAAAGCGCTTGATGAGACGCGGAAAAACGAAATCCCGATCAAGGAGAATATAAACTGTTTGTTGGAACATAATCATGAGCTGATAACACAGTACGACTATGAACACTTTTTAGTGTATATCGTAAATGGATCCATTGGAGTTACGCGAGAAGAGTTCGAAAATCAGCAGAAATCCGTTATGTTTGAGGTGTGAGTGCGAATCAAGATGAAACTGATATACTGCTAGTAAGAGAGTGTTACAGGACTACTCTTTGTTTGACAGAAAAGTATGGAAATCAGCGCAGACTGGCAGACAATTCATATTTGGATCGTGCAGAAGTACGTCCAGAAAAGATATATTTTTTATGTACTTCTTTTATTTCAGATATTCTCAGCAATGCCGAGTTTCTTACTTGGCTTAAGGAGCAGCACTTTGATCTAGCCTTCTTATATGCGTTTCAAGCTTGTCCAGTGGGACTCGTACATATCGGTCGCATTCCATCATGGATATGGCTTATCAGGTAGCCGGTTTGGATGAAATGCCCGAGTCATAAGTATAGCTTTTTTCGCATTCCTTGATTGTTTGCGTCTCTCCTTTCAGAGCCGAAGAAGGGTCTCTTTTCCTGCAAAATAGGAAATTTCTAATGCCATCAGTAACTGTATAACAAGCTTCCGCCTCGAGATGAAAGACACCCACATTCAAAGTAGCTTTCTAAAACGATGTGTATACCAATGAGAGTTTCCAGTGGGCACAATTAAAAGCACTTCCCTGCAACTGGTAAATGCGAATTTGCTTCGGAGGCTTATACTCAGATTTCTGAGTAAAAAGCTACTATTTGGCAGCAATAGGCAACAAAACTCAATGTCGCTTGCTCCTAAACGGACCCATGTACGCCTAGTCAACCGTTTAGACAACGAAAGCAGACTTTATTCAACACCAGCTTGCTTACCCGGCTCCGCTTAGCCCTGTTAAAACACTGTAATAAAGGTCCCATCCCTATCCCTGTACAGCTTTTCCCTGTTCCCACTTCTACATTTCATTTCCCGTTCCTTGTGTTGTTTTCGAAATCAGCATGCCCACTTACCCGTGTGCCAACTCCCACCCCTTCAGCTGAAATTTTGAAAAAATCGATAAGATCGATAAAAGTAAAAGGTAATACCAAAAACTTATTGTATTCGTGATCAGTATGCCCGATTATCCCCCTGCGCCAACTGTCAGCCCTGTAGCTCAAACTTTGCAAGAAAATCGATAAAATCGATAAAAGTAATCAATGATTCTGAAAACTAATATTGTATTCGGAACCGCCATGCTCACTTACCCCCCTGTGCCAACTCTCAGCCCCGTAGGTGAATTCTGCAGGAAAAAAACGATAAAAATCGATAAAATCGATATCGAGCGATAATGAAAGATAGCCTATGCGGGGCCCGGCACGAGTCGGTTTCTGGAGTTTCGTAAAACGAAGTCCCCCCTGCCGGAGATTTCGCGAATCCCTCTTTGACCTACCTATTTAAGGGACGATGAAAACAAGAGAGATTTACTACTCTGAAAGAAAAATGTGAGATAAGTACTACGCATGCACAAGAGTTTGGCATTGGAGCTCGATATTTAATAAAGCGATTTATGAAGAAATTAAAGCAAAAACAAAGGTAAGGCAATGATATGAAAATGCCTCAATGCTCAGAGATAGATTTTTGACCGGGGAATCCGTCTATGCTGGAAAAATCCGAAACTTATGTGAAGTGACAGAAATACAGTGACCGCCAAAAAGTTGCGGACAAGCCGCCCTCCTTTTTTTATCGCTCATTTTCAAATGGAAAACAAAGATGAACAAATGAATGGATTGCATGGGATGATAGAGCGCATCAAGAGCTACAACCTACACATTGCGCTTTCTGGAAAACATGTACTATAAAAATTTCAAAAATCTTTTTCCCAAAAAAAAATCCGAAAATGGACACGTCACAATGTCGCGGACAATAATTCTTTGAACGCAAAAAGTTTCTTCTAGGTCTTTTCTTGGATCAAAAAGAGTAGTTTTCTAGACAGGTAAGCATGCTATATTGTAAAGCTCATCGAGGACAATAATCGGGTAGTGGTTACTTCTAAAAAAACCCAAGCTTGAATTTTATTTTGCTTTTTTTCAAAAAATAATTTTTAGTTCCCCTTTTCAAGCCAAATTTTTTCACATGGAAACCTATTCAAGACATTCCAACAAAGCTAATTGGATAAGATGGATGCTCTTTGCCATCCTCTATGCATCGGACGTGTGCTGGTGAGTTTCTTTACTAAAAATGACTCTTGACAGTGTGTGCACACGACCCCACTTGCACTTCACCGCTGACTTGCACCGCTTTGCAGGCTTGTAGCTCGGCCGCCAGACAATCTAAGAGCCTAAGAGTAGGCTCATTCAAAAGAGCGTGGCATCTGCGACACGATGGTATGCAAATGACTTGAGTTTGGGAAATCAAGGAGATTTTACGGATGGGGTGACAAAGCGCAGCTTCAGTGGTAGGCTAAGGATTCTTCAGCAAAGTTGACCAAAGCTCCTTTCGCCACCAGTTCCATCCTAAAAGTTCAAAACTGTCAATTTCTTGTAATGGTCCATTTCGGAGCTCTAAGACTGTTCTAGAGTTGATAAGAGCCTTCACTCCAACCACCTCTAAGGCTGCGCTTCTTCACCCCATCCGTAAAATCTCCGTGATTTCCCAAACTCAAGTCATTTGCATACCATCGTGTCGCAGATGCCACGCTCTTTTGAATGAGCCTACACTTAGGCTCTTAGATTGTCTGGCGGCCGAGCTACAAGCCTGCAAAGCGGTGCAAGTCAGCGGTGAAGTGCAAGTGGGGTCGTGTGCACACACTGTCAAGAGTCATTTTTAGCAAAGAAACTCACCAGCACACGTCCGATGCATAGAGGATGGCAAAGAGCATTTATCTTATATAATTAGCTTTGTTGGAATGTCTTGAATAGGTTTCTATGTGAAGAAATTTGGCTTTAAAAGGGGAACTAAAAATTAATTTTTGAAAAAAAGCAAAATAAAATTCAAGCTTGGGTTTTTTGGAAGTAACCACTATCCGATTATTGTCCTCGATGAGCTCTACAATATAGTGTGCTTATCTGTCTAGAAAACTACTGTTTTTGATCCAAGAAAAGACCTGAAAGAAACTTTCGCGTTCGAAGAATTACTGTTCGCGACATTGTGACGTGTCCATTTTCGGACTTTATTGGAAAAAGATTTATAGAATTTTTATAGTACATGTTTTCCAAAAAGCGGATGTGTGGGTTGTAGCTCTTGATGAGCTCTATCACCACATACTATCCAATCATTTTTTCATCTTTGTTTTCCATCTGAAAATAGCGAAAAAAGGAGGGTGGCTTGTCGCAACTTTTTGGCGGTCACTGTATATGCCCCAGATGATCTCAGATGGTGGCCGTCTGGAGGCAGACTTGTTTTGGAAAAGGTGCTACTTAACAGAAGTTTTCGAATTTTTTAACATAATTCTTCCGCAAATAATTTTCTATGTATACGGTTCAATTTTAGTGTCACATGATTGCATGTCAATCGTGTAATAATCTGTCTGAAAAGCTTGCGTTCGATTAAATAGCTCTTATTCTTGATGCTCGGCCCGACTTGTCAAAAACGATTTCTATTTTGCTGTTTGCTCCAGAAACGAAGTCCATCCTGTTTCCAGACGATCTGTGCCGGGCCCTGAGCCTATGACACGCTTCCTGCCCCGAAGTGTATGTATGCCAAGTTTGGCCCAAATCGGTTTGGAAAAAATTTCTATTCCGCACATACGTACACACATACAGACATACAAACAGACATTCAACTTTATACATATATAAGATTTCGAGGAGAAGGCGGCCAACCACCGCTTGCCCTCAACTGAATTTAAGGAGATTTTGGGACAAAGCCCTCCACGTGCTTTGATTATGGGCGCGTCGCTTACTCCCAAAACAGATGATATTATGTGCAACTCCTTCTTTCACTTTGTATTTCACAGAGAGTCTGCGTTCCTTCCCCTTTGCCTCTCCCTCTCCTACCTTCCACTTTTCGCCTCTTCCTTTTTCTACCCTAGCCCTTCATGTGCATATCTTCTGAGTGATGCATAGCACAACAACAGAATTCTTAACTCTTCAACATTTGCGTAAAAGCGAGCTTCAAAGGCAGCGGCTCGGCAGAATGACAACTTTAGGATATTCATCATTCTGGGTTCTCCTGGACGAGCTAAGTCCAAGACTGTGCTGGAGCTTCAAAAGATATCAATGATCGGCTTTTCCAGATGTGAAAAGTACAATTTGGACCGCGTATCCTGTTCTTTAGAGCGCGATTGGCTTGTGAGTGGAGACACTGTACCTATCGTACTCACGAGCCAATCGCGCTTGGGGCAGGCACACGCCGTCCGCCCAAATAGCACTTTTCACTTCTGGAAAAGCGGTTATTGGTATCTTTTGAAGCTGCAAAACACAGTCTTGGACTTAGCTCATCCAGGGGAACCGAGAACGATGAATATCCCAAATTTGTCATTCTGCCGAGCCGCTGCCTTTAACACACGACGATACAACCCATGGGTCGTAAGATTCCTGAAGTTTTAGCTTTGCCAGTTTACGATGGAAATTAACGAGGTTCTGGCACATAATTGGAAACACCTAGGTGAAGCTTCAGCCAGAGTAATCCAGGCTCGGGATACTGTAGTGCAAATGTTACGATAGGTCTACCGCAGATAGAAATAAGAACAGATTTCAGCTCAAATTCATCGCAGAATGATGCTGTTTCTGAAAGTATAAGTGTACACGCATGAGAAATACGGGAGGGCGAGATGATGTGAGCTCGTCAAAATCATCGATTTTATTGATTTTTTGCATTGTTCATCACAGAAAGCTCAAGTCTTACATAAGTAGGTTCTGTAGTATGCTGATCCCGAAAATGATAGTTCCAAATTCTAATACAGCCTTCTTACATCAGTTTCTTGTTCTACGAAAATCCTACCGTACCTTTACCGCAGCCCCACCATGGGACAGTAGTAAACAAAGTAGACACTATGATTGCGATCAGCACGTGAATAGCCCCAAAACACAACTTTTTATGGAAATCCATGATGTTGGGTTCGTACAGAATGATTACTCTAACCTTACCGACAAGGCCAAAACTGTATTAAACTAAATTTTAATAATTAGCGCCTTCGATAACCCCTCTGATGAAATTCTCAGAGCATGTTTCAAATTTTTTCCAAAAAGATACCGTTTCGGACAATAAGACCCACGAGTGGGTCTCGTAAGTTTGACAAAGCGAAAAAGGCTCTGGTCTGAAAGGCAGTAATCGAAAATTCGGCCTTGTCGTGAATGTGTTAGGATCGGAGCAGATTGCTCCGCTAATACTTTCTTGGACTGTAAAAAAAGTGGAGAAAGATGGCATCGCTTTTATTTGATTGAAGGCTTTTGAAGTCAAGATACAACTTATATATAAGAAGTGTAAAAAATCTTGTGAGCAAAAGGCTCGGGTCCAGCTCAGCTGGTAGCTAGATGAAAGGCTCCAGCGAATCGGAAAAAATTTAAGCACGACTTTTAACACGTTGACGACAGTGTCGCGCAATGGTGCGCGACAGGCAGTCTGTCCCTGTGGGCGATGTCGCGCAATGGTGCGACATCGCCCACAGGGACAGACTGCCTGTCGCGACACCCTAAATACCATTTCTAATGTGCACAATGGTTCCAATTTGTGTACACATAATCAATATGGGCTCAGAAGTTTTTCGTGTTGGCCCCGCCTCTCTTTTGGCAAACTCCGCCCACTCCGTTACCCTCTACAAAAAACTTTTCTCAAATCGCCTAGAAAAGCTCGTAGATGACTGGGGAACCTTAAATAATCTTAGTTTTGACTTTTGAACCCCGCTCCCCATTGTGCAGCCCCCCCCCTGAGTGGCAAGCTCCGCCCACTCTTCAAAAATGCCTGGATTTGCACAAATTCATTGATTTTGAGCAATTTCCGGCATTTTTGGAAAGTGGGCGGGGCTTGCCAAAAGTGGGCGGAGCTACCCCGTCCACCTGCATTTTGTACCTCACGTATAGATGCATGCATACATACACGCAGCCGGCCGTGAAAATGCCCGGAAACGGTTCGTCCACAGGGACAGACGTCGAAAAAACAGCTCGTCGTCAACGTGTTAACCAACATAAGTTCTTGTAAACGTTTAGGCCATAGTCAGAGCTCTTTCAAGTGTTGGTGTCATATCGTTGCGTACTGGTGGTTGGGAACAATATATTTGTTCTTTTTTCGGAGCACAATCCAAATTCCCGCGCTGTAAAGCTCCACGCGCATCATACCTGCATGCCGGCGGTCAAGTTGATACTGAGCATGCCGCCAACAAATCTGACATGTTAATCTGAAGGAAAATTTAGGACACTGTTCTGTTAGTTTCAAATTATACAGGGTCTCTCAAAAAAAATGTTACTGTTTGATTGTTAATAACTCTCTTGTAATGTATCTTTCAAGACGCTTCGATTACCGTTTTGTAGAGCTAACTTCAACTTAGATTTACAGTAGAGAGCGCATCACCGATTGCTATTCAGTACTGTAGGATTACGGTAGAAACTTTAAGTATATGGTGTCATTGTGAAAGTTGCCGTTTCAAAAAAATTTTAGAAATGTGTAACCTTGGGCAATAGGAATTTCCTGAACCATGAGTTCATTACTCAACTATGTATAAGTTCGCGAAGCTTTCGAAACAGGTAACCGCATTTTTTAGGAACATTGAAAAAACGGCCGCGACTGCTTATCGATCGTAATTTATTAATGAAGCATCATGATAACTCGCGGACTTCATATTTAGAGCCAACAACTCAAATCAGCCTAGTGTGAAAGTTTTCAAGCTGTTTTGTTTCCTTTCTGAGGCAGAATATAGCCTCTCATGGCTCAAAACCTTTTTGAAGTTTCCACCGTAATCCTACAGTAACAAAGAGATATGGGTGATTCGTTCTATACTATAGATCTATGTTGAAGCTAGCTCTACAAAATGGTACCTAGACCTTCTCGAAACACTCCATCACAAGAGAGTTTTTAACAATCAAACAGTAAGCTCATTTTTGGGACACTATGTATACTCATATGTTGGTATTTATAAATATAAATATATATATATATATATCTACAATCTTATTCCAGGGCTCTGCCTCGGACAAAAACGATATCCACCTTTATTCCCCCCTACCTAGAAAGAAAGTTATCCAGTTTGGCCTAGTTGAAGCTGTGCGCGGCCCTTTTCATTATGATGCACATCATGAATGTCATTTGAATCAAATGCCATGCAAGTACTCTCAGATGTACCCTGAAGATGTTTCTGATTACAAAATGGAAAAAAACCTGATACATCAGCTGCATTATAGCTTTCATCTCTTTCTAGGCTCGTACTACACCAAAGTTGTTTCTCAAAATACATACTATGAAAACTGTTCAGTTCTCCTTTACTCGACCACGTTGCACAAAGAATCGGAGTCCCAAGTATTCCAAGTTATGTTCCTCGTGAGTTATTACGACGTTTCCAAATATGGATTATCGTACAAAATATTACAGCTATGGGTATGGAGAGCCATGACACGATGACTTTCTATGAAAGAGTGAAAAGTTTTCTTGGACATTTTCTGACTTACATACTTTGGGGAAGGTCTGTTTCTTTTCCATTCATAACACATATACCATATTGGTATGTCCCACTGCTATCAAGGATTGTCGTCAACCCTGAGACACAACTGTACCGAGAGATTATCGATCCATCTTTTCCTGACTTGGAAGATTTGGCGAAACACTGTCCATTGGTAACATGTGATTGCTAGAATATCTCTACACACAGCATAGGAGTATTTAGGTGATGGTCAATTCCAATGACCTCTACGACTTACCTCGCCCATCGTTAGCAAAAGTTGTGAACATCGGTGGAATGGACATGCAGTATCAAGGCAAACCATTACCTGAGGTGAGTGAACTTTTATTTAATCATAAAAAAACAATCGGCGATGAAATGACAGGATATAGCACAAATAGCATCAAATGCTGATGCAGTCGTCATTTTTTCCTTTGGATCTATTACTCCAATAACGAAGATGCCAACAGAATGGAAGATCGCATTTTTCCGAGCATTTAGCAACTTTCCGAAAGTTCACTTCTTCGTTAAGTACGTCGGAGATGATATGAAAGGTGAGTATATTGAGAATGCTAAAGCGAATTGGTTCATACATTATTTTTATTTTTTAGCACCTAATTTTTGACATGACTCGGCCGAAGTCACCTGACAAGTATACTGAAGCGATTTTTAGCAATGGTAATGCAGTAGTGATTCAAAAACACTGATTTGCTTTACAGAACCAGCCAAGGTCGAGCTTATGTGAAAGTTGATCTGATCTGCACCCCTATTTATCAAAGGTTTTCAAAAGAAGAAAGCTTCTGAAAGTGCTACTCTCATTATGGTAAAGAATATATTAGTACAAAAGGATGAAGGATTCAACGTCTTTAGCTGGCGGGCATGCGCCAAACGCCCTTTAAGTGTTTTTGGCCTGCGTGCTAGCCTTTTATTACACAATGACTTAAAGGCATTGTCCAGGTCAACTGAGGGTGGTGGAATTTTGACGCAGCGCGGGAGCACGTTCCCAGTAATCAACAGTCCAAGTCCGGTCGAAAGAGGTGGATTCCGAAGCGAGATAATCGCTTCGGTGAAAAGCGGAATAAGGAGAGCACATTTCAAATGTGCAGAAGATAGGCATATTATCAATCCACGTAAGTTATACACACTATGCATGTGCTGTTTCCTAATGTTCGATTTGAAGACTTTTGGCGAATTGCCAAATCGCGTCGCGACTGAAATCGCGTGAAGTATGCTCAGCCCTTTACAGGAGTAGCCGGTTACAAGTCATTGGTTTTAATTGATACCATTTACCGTCCCCGATGGGTAGAGAGGGCTTGGTTGGCACAGGGGCGGGATTGAACTTTGATCCGACCTGATCATAGCGACGCCTCATAACACTTCGTCCGGACGTATTAGTCAACATATCAATTAACAAATCAAATTTCAAACTCTAATCAAAACTGTGCATGAAGTTCAGCTTAGCGAGTAATATAATGAAAAATTATTCTGATTACACGGAAGGAAGGCACGTTTAAAATGAGCCTGGTTGTTTTCACCCGCTTCCCTGAGCAAGTGGCCCGTAGGAAAGCTCGTTCAGCTCAGGTGATATTTTAGTTCGGGTGATGACAATCCCGCTGGCATATGATCACAAATGTATCAGGTAATGGGCATTGGACTTGTGCCTGTAGAATATGATGAGAAAGGGAAGAAAGTAGGAGAATGTTGCAAGCTCAGTGATACACCTCATGTGAGCACCGGTCCGAAGCGTTAGACAACCGACTGCCATCAGTAATATTAGAGTGATCAAAAGTAATGAGGCACCTTAGTTTTTTAAACATTCTTCAGGATCTCTTTCTGATTAGCTATGAACAACCAGCAATTTGAACGCTTTTGTATAAAGTAACCTCCGCAGGTTATCTTGACAGCACCTTGCATCACCTCACCGACATTCCTTCGAGCGGCGCTTCAAAGAAGTCAGACAGACTTTTTTAAACGCCATCCGAATTTGTGCTGCTGCACGTGAAAGTCCCTCGACATTGGCATACCATTCGAAAGAACTTTCCAAGCTCTTTCTAATGATTACATGAATATTAATAATTGCCCATTATTTCTTACAAAAAAGGCACTTCATTCGAAAAAGTGCCTTGTTTGGCGCAGATTTTCAAACTAAAATTCATGTTTGGCTCACAATTTTTTGAAAATGTAAAAAATCGAAGTATTTTGTATATGTATGGATAGAGCGTAAAAAGCACTATCAGAAAGCAACTGTTAAGGTTGAGCTTGCTTAATTACCTTGATGAAAGAATAAGTAATATGTCTCCTGATACTAAATTATATATTTTGTTCTAAAGCCTTGGGACCACCGAGCTATCGTGGATTTGGTGACAGTATCTTTGGTAGGCTCACTTGTTCTACTGCGGCGCTGCTGATCAAAGTTCAAAATTACTTGAAGTGATGAGCTTTAATTTTAAGTGCTTATAAAAATAACGCCATGTGTGCCCAAGTATAGACCTCGATCAAAAGGTTTTGTTATGTACTAACATCTGCCAAAACTCGGACTTCCAATTAGCTTGTCTATTTGAGAAAACTGCATTTATTCTCTAGGCATTACTTTCGGATCACCCTAATAAAATGGCTAGCCGATATGCTAATCTTCCACTCACTCCTCTCAGACTTCTGCGAGTGCTCTATACAATAAAAACATGTATCAATATCATCTAACACGTTTGCCTTCCCTGTCTTTGCCCCCTATTTTAGTGCCAGAAACCAAAGACCACCGATTGTCACATATTGTCCGAATTCATCTTGCTGCAAAACCTTTCAAGAATCTGACTCGGCTGCCACTTACTAGCGGCGTCTCTTATTCTCCTCAATTAGAAGTAGGATGTAAGTATTATTCTGTCATTTGACTGTGTATGGTTAACCCTACGCACATCTGTAAGCGAATGCTAAAGCATTCGTCTATGTAATTGCTTGCGTTTACTGACTTACAACTTTATGCATCATCCATACTGAGACCATGACAACAAAAGAGTGTGATTAACAAAGCGATTCTTGTGTTCGCCTCACCTAAAGTCCTTTGCTACTTGGAACGAGAAAATAAGCAAGTTCGAATGTGTTATGGAACATGTGCATGACGATCTCAAGTATTTCAGTATTAGAACAGATGATCCCACTTTGGCAGAGGCAATGCATGTTTTTGAAAAGTTTTACTTTCATGAGCTGTCACTGGAATTGGTAAGAGAGAGGAATTTTGAGGATTTTTTGTTGGTGTAGACGTTTTTTTGCAAAGATACACAGAAACTAGTCAAGATTTGCGATATCACAGTCTCCTACGTTCTCCCACTAAGCGCGTCCAAAATTCTCAAAATCACGGACTACGCTCAGAATCAATCTATGCTAGTTTTGAGATGCTGATCACTAATATTACAGTTTACTGGAACGATAAGCCATTGTGGAGCTTCCGATAGGTATCTACATGGCGGCGGAGTGAGATTATAGAAATGCAGGAGGGTGGTTGAGTAGTGTATAACGAAAATGATACCAGCAAGGCTTCTTTGTTGATTTCGTAGATGCGTGGTACAAGTTCTACAACCTCAGGTTTAGAAGCGCCAACGTAACCATTTCTGGTGGGCTACAGATGGTTCAGTGGTATTCTTTGTTTATCGGTACTTCACACACATACGACCGACTGCGACGCCGGACAACACTAAGGATGCCCATCCTCGGGGTAGGCCCGAAGATAAGACGACAAAAAGGTTTTTGCGATACAACATGTGGCGCGGGGAAGGGGTTCCTGGAACCAGGAAAAACCATTTTATTATGATAATCGATCACCGCGCCAATAAAGTCGACCAGCAAAGTTTCAACAATTCATATATTCGATTACCGTACACTCAACTTCATCACTTCATCCTCAAAAATGGATTTCAATGCGAAATGAGTGTCATTTTGAAGATCTCTGTGTCGAGTAACCCCATAAGAGGTATTGGAGTTCTGTGAAACAAAGTATTAAGGTGATGCATAAGTAATGGGGCACCTAAAGAATAAGTGCAGTTTTCTCAAACAGAAAACCTAACTGGAAGTCCGAGTTTTGGCAGATGTTGGTAACATTTGATTCAACTGGCTTGGTGGATGGAAGGCGGGGCTCGTGACCTAGTTAAGGCCGCTCGCGCCTGCGAGTCAGTCTGATTGTGAGCCTTTCCCGCGCGCGTGCTCTCTGACCATTATCTAGCCTTAATTAGGTCACGAAACCCCGCCTTCCAGCCGCCAAGCCAGTTGAGTCAAGGGGTACACAACAAATCCTCCTAATCGAGGTGTGTAGATGGGCACTGTCAAATGGGCTTATTTTGAAAGCGCTCAAATCAAAGCGCATCACTTCAAGTAATTCTGGACTTTGAGCAGCACCGCCGCAGCAATTGAACTTATCAAAAATATCTGCTCAGCAATGGGTGAGGGGACTGTACCAAGTTCACGATAGCCTGGTGCTCACAACGCTTTAGAAAAGAAAATATAGCGTTGGGTATTAGGAGACCAGTGGCGTACCGAGGAGGGGGTGGGGGGGGGGGCGCCCCCCCCCCAAGAGGGGTGGGGGGGGGGGCGCCCCCCCCCCCCCAAGAACGAGTCGCGAAATTTTTAAAGTTAGTTCTGAGCCCGCGAAAATTTTAGGGAGCATACCAAAAAAATTCTCGGATTGCGAGGCTGACGCCACGCACCTTCATCGGAGAAAAATTTTCGTCGCCCCCTCCCCCCGAGCCGAAATCCTCGGTACGCCACTGTAGGAGATATTATCTATTCTCTGATCAAGGTAATTAAATGAGCTCAATCTTGCTCTCTACCCATACATATGCAATTTACCTCGACTTTTCTGATTTTCAAAAAATTTATGGGTCAAAACATGAATTTTAGCCAGGAATCTTGTGTCAAATACCGCACTATTTCGAATAAAGTGCCTCTATTATACGAATTAATGGAAAATTGTTGTACAGCAATCCTTAAAAAGAGCTTGAAAAGTTCTTTCGATTGATATTTCATACGTCTAGAGTACTTTGAGGTACAGCAGCACAAATCCGGATGGCATAAAGAAAGTCGGTTTTACTTCTTCAAAGCGTCGCTCGAACGAGTGTGATTGAGTTGCTGCAAGGTGCTGTCAGGATAACCTGCGAAGATCACTCTCTATACAAAAGCGTTCAAATTGCTGACTCGTCATAGTTAGTCACAAAGAGGCCTTGAGAATGTCCAAAAATCGAGGTGCGCCATTACTTCTGGATCACCCTAATATTTGAGTGCACTCCATCGCTGCAGGAGTGCCGAGGAAGAGCGAACAGCGGTCTAGTTGTCGCGATTTCATCGCTACTTGCAGTAAATCGCGACGATTCGTCGCCCAAAGTGTGCTTGAAGCTTTATGTGGGCAAAAAAATAATTGCACAGCAAAACCTTAGAGGCAGCGTCCAGGTAAAACCTAATCCCCTCCTATCAGTATATCCTGAATGTAAACCCCCGGAGAGGAGGATCTGCGTTGCTCCGGTGCTCCAGTGTTGCCTCTAAATGGAGATAATGGGCCTGGAAAGCAAGA